TAACCATTTCCAACATATGTATTTTTATGGTATCCGCATGAAAAGGTTCAATCAAAATAAAATATGAATTTAAATGCGAGTAAAAGAGACACTTATTTAAATTTGTAGGCTTTATCGAATAAATTATTAAATAAATGAGTTCCGAAAATAGAATTATGTTGATACATTTGCTTGCTTACTTTATTGTAAGAATGCCTAAAACTAACTATATTAGAATATGCTGACTGATGAATTTGAAATCGTTTCAATGGATCTGAAATTGATTTGTCCATTTAACAAATGAGATTCCTTTCACTTTTACACTTCGCCATTTCAATGGCATTTGTTTTGCAATTTTCTAAATCACTATGAAATGTATACGAAAAACTTCAAGAAATAAAAATTGTTTCTCTTTTATATGTTGACTCTCGGTATATTTATTCGGTGGGATTTTATTGGTCTGGATTATAGTTTATTTGGAAAGTATATTTTGTATGTGGTATTTGATAAATCAGTTTATCTCTCGTCAATGAATTCTGGATGGGATTAATTTTTCACTTGTCCACCAATAATATTATTTCATGTGTTCCGCATATACGCGTGATGATGATGTGATCTCGTCGATATCTTTTAGTTGGAAAATTGGTAATAAATAATCAATATTTTGCATACGTGTCGGCGGTGCATAAAATTGTGGTTGAAGATAATATTTCAGTGTCAATCAATATGCCAATCACAATTTAAACAATATTCTGTCGTATAGAAACTGATTGGTGTGCTATCTTTTTGTTTAATTAAATCAACAATCGCACTCTGAATAGTTGAATTGAAATGCCACTAATTTTCTTGTCGTCCGACAAACGTCAGTCAAATAACGAAACGCATGCATTGACCAAAATGAGTCCAATAATTAGTAACTCGGGTTGATTTTTCAAGTTAAGTTGAGAATCTATCCAAATGAGTGTCTAACACACACAAATGCTATGAAACACGCATATGCACACGCCAGATCTGTGCCAAATTTAGGATGGATAACGACAGACGATTATAATGACGATGCCATTTTTGAAGATGGATTTGCCCAATTGGTCGTACGCAATCACACGCATCGTTTTAATATGACAAAATGTGAACTTTTGTGAGCGATTGACATTGAATGAAAATGGTTTTGGAAATCGAACGTGCGCACCACCATACACAGTCAATCATTCATATCGAATATTTTACATTCAGATAAAATGAATTGAATTCTTGATTTATAATTTAATATCGTGTTTTATGTCATACCAGTGCGGAACAGACGCACAAATATAACTCTTATCGACATCTTCGTTTAGTGGTGTGATTTATCTTGCTTGTCATTCTTTTTGTGTTCGGTCTAAAAATGGATGGAACAAAGAAATTTGCATAACTTTTGTACAGATTCTATGTCATTGTTTTTTTCCTGATTCAAATTACTTTTTGTTTTATTTTTTTTTTCTCGATTGAATTACATAACAAAAAAAGGATTCTGTTCATATTATTACAATGGCTTCCTTAGCTGTATTTCGATCGAATTGGTTTTTTTTTCGTTTCAAATTTTGTCCATGCTTACTTTTCGCGTACGTCATCGATCGAAAACCATTATTATCATGATGTATAATGTATATGTATATATGCACACTGTTGTCTATAAATAGATGCCATTATACAGTTGAATCAAATTGTTATTTTATGTAAACGTTCTCAATATACTGAGGTAATTTCATGCAATGTCGATCTTAATTCCAAAAAATAAGTCGTCTCTCATTTTCTGTCTCTTATCTATAAGTACCATTTTATGCGATGATTAAAGTGAAGCGCCGTTTTATCAACATCAAATATGCCGAAACATGTGTGGTTGTTTAACCAATACACTCAAAAGATTTTTGATTTATTTTCATGTATGCCATCGCTTTTGGAAACGATTTCAATTATACGGATCAAAGGAATAAATCGTATGGAATTGACATGAATTACGACAACAGATTTAAAATACACTGTCTTTATAAAAAACCTGTAGCATGTTCATTTGCATATACTGTCAAAACAATTATTGGAATCCATATCCAGCTGAATGATAAAAACATGCTCAAGCTCAACAATGTATTTTCAATATATTTTCTAAATTTGCACATTTATTTTTAGACACATTTCAAATGTGATTAATTGGTTTTTGTTGTTTTCATGTTTCTTTCGTTTCCATTTCGTTCATCAGCTTGTTAGTGCATTTTGCGCATAGAAGCTCATTTTATTCTGGAAACAAGTCAACAATATCAGATTAAATCCCAAATTAGTCCTTTAATTTGCACATGAATCAATATTGTGGCTCTCTTCCGTTACAAATTCGTGTTATTGATTTCAAATGCTGGTTTTTCTGAATAAAACGATTCACATTTTCGAACGAACAAGCAAAATAATTGATAGAAAAATCCATGAATTTATTAGTCAAATACCGTTGAAGATGGGGGTGAGTTTTTGACCACAGTCACATCGATGAATTTTTATTTTCCGAAATTTTTTCATTCCAGGTTGAAATAAATCAAACTGAATACCCATTAAATTATGTATATAGGTATTTCTTTTGGATTTTATCTCGAAATGTTATTTTAACCATACAAAAAAAAAACGGTCCGTACCAAGAGGCAATGTAATTCATCAACAATTGTATTGTTTATTTATTCAATTTGTCAAATTGAAACGGAATGAAGAACGAAAAAAAAAAACCGAATGTAATACAAAAACGGAAGGTAAAATTTCGAGTGCCATTTTCTTCATAGAAGCTGGGACATGTTTTATGTAAATATAAAATATATAGAAATGTATACTGAGTGTGGTGACCATGTGTGTGTGGGCTGTAACAATGGAAAAAAGTGATGTGTAAGCTTTCAAAAACACCTTTTTGCCTATTAGGATTCGTTTTTTTTTGTAGCGCCAAAGGTAATGTAGCAGATTGAGCATCGACTTCATTCGTCCGGTCGTCAAACGAATAGCGGTTATTATCTGTAGAAGTTTACATTCGATGTGTTTGCATTTGATGAGTATCGTTTGATACGAAATACCCTTTTGGTGACAAACACATATATGTATATTGCAATAGAAATAGAATAGACACAGAGATACAGAATGTGCGATTGGAAGAGACAGAGAGGTAGGGGATGAGAAACAATAAAATCACATCTGTATGAGAGCCGCACACAAATCATAAATTTTAATCTTTATTGCTTGACTGCGACAGAAGACAGAATAGCGTAATGGATAGATAGAAATTCATTTGAAATATAAGAGAGAAAACTAGTGAATGAATGCGGGGAGCAAAAGCTCAACGAGATTAAACTACGAGAGAGGCAAGCCTGAGATTATATAGTCGGACAGTATCCACTGTTTTGCGTAAACAATCCAATTGAGCTTATCATTGATTATAAAAGCGATTATAATTACTCAATTGACAGAGTAGAATTGGAACAAAATGGTATATATCAATGGAAAACCGAAAATGAATATATCGCCAAAGAATCTGAAGCATTTCGGATGATTTTGAGTTTGAGTGAAATGTCGCTAGTCGAGAGCTTACCTCGAACTCCATTATCGCTACGACCGAAATGTATGAATTGTTGTGAATGTGTGAAATTGCGTGTCATCGTTGACGTCGCCACCACAGCTCAACAATCGATTTTCACAACGTTTTTATTGATATAATCGTTTTGTTTTTATTAGCTTTTGTTAGCATTTCTCACAACTCAATCTCATGCAATTTATGCGTGTGCCTACCATCTCGGTTTTTTTTTCTGATTTTTATTGTCACCGCCTCAGATTTGCGTTTCACGGAATCCGATTTGATCCGTCACCAAATCTTTTCAACGCGCACAATGCATTGCAATGCATTTGTAAAGAATTGAATCAATTGCGCAAAAAAAATGTATGTCTTGATTTTTCTTTTATGTACCACCGCTATTCCATGTCATTTAAACATTTTAGATATGAGCCACAGATTAAATAATTCAACAGTTAAATGTGTTATGGTGCGTATTTAAACCACTTAAACGATATTATAACAAAATGGTAAGTCGAGAGTACCTGCTCGTCTCGGAATAATACTGTTGTGTCTGTGTGCATGTGTGTTATCATTCAATCGCCTTCCACTCTCATGAAATATTAAATGTTTCATAATTTTAAAGGCGAGCGATGGTGAAACCTTTCGTTCATATCCCGCGAGTATATTTGACACTTAATTCACTTCAAATTCTGTATGTCTATCATGTGTCGAATTTTAACATTTAATCGAAATTTTCAAGACTCATTTATCTTTACAAAAATGGTATACATTCATTTTTCTTTATCTAAACCACAAATAGGGGGACATATAGAGATCAGCCGATTCGAGGGTGGTACCGAAGAAAGGGCGAAACCAAAAATTTGCAGAAAAAACGAAAGAAATTAGAGTGTATTCAGAAAATCCACCCACGGATTTTCGGTTGAATTTTTATCGGTGGTGGCTGCACTTGATCAGGTTTGTTTGAAACACACATTGACATCACATAAAGAAAACTCAACTTTGTAACATAATTAATTATAAATGTTTGCGTGATAAAAAAAAAATTGCCCGTCAATTTAGCAATGTTTCGGATCGATAATATTTCGAAGTAATTTATACATACGAAAAATGCAAACAAAACAAAAACAAAATCACGAAGCAAAAGTTTCAAGGCTCGGTATCGTTTATTATCGTCCTGTAGAACAAAACATACGAATATGGAGAAGTTGTAACAGAAACAGAGAAAAAGGGAAAAAAAAGTAACAACACATGAAAAACTCGAAACGACATACACACATCATCCCTAATAAAATCATATGGTTTTATATGAGGATTTCCCGCATAGTTGAACTCTCATTTCAACTCGCTGTTGATGTGTATTGGATATGCCCAAACGGCATCTATATGGATGGGATGTGTTATAAAAAATTGATTTCAAAATAAAAAAAAAAACTTTTTGATTGTTTACCTTAGCAATGAACCTCCGAAAAATTCATACACAACTAAACTACATAGAATTTGTGCATACGAAAAACGAAATCTAAACTGTAAAATTCAAACGCAATGATGTTGATGTAAAGTATGAGCGTCGAGAATGTGAGTGTCGTTCAATATATTCCTCTAGGTTTTTCTTTTGTATCCTTCATGTTGCACCGTATGTATTTCGTTCAAAACAAGATTTTGTTGTACTTTCATGTTGATTTTTTTTTTATTTCACGCAAAAAAAACACACACACATACACTAAACTAAAAATGTTTTTCAATGAAGCGCACTGGATCTTCAACTGTCGTAACAGCACCACAATGTTCATACAATTGCACATGTGTTATATGTGTAGTTTTGTTTTTGTTATTTTTTTTTTGCTACTGATGCTGCTGCCTTTTTTCTCTGTACGGCGCGTTGCACAATATGTTTTTTTTTATCTTGTGAATTTTGTCGAGAGTTTGAACTTAGTTTAAATGAAACTGAAACAACCGTTTCAAACACAGAAAACCTCAATCGTCAACAATCTCAATGCGAAAATGAAACATCACTGAATTTGTGAATCTGTTCGAAGGATTTATTTTTGGTTACAGGTTTAAGCGCTACTGTCTAGTTGTATGGTGTCTCTGTCTTTTTTTTTGTGTATTCTGGCTTCACTCACTTTTCAAAAGACACACATCTATTTCGTGTGTACAAAATTATTTATATATAGTGGAATCACAAACGCAAATCGAGAAACACGCGCGACGAATGCTAAGAGACCACTGAAAACATGAACACGGAGAATTTAAGAACGGCTACGCTATTCAGCATCACCAGCAGCAGAAGTAGCTTTTTCTCTTTAAACACATACACACACGCGCAAACAATTCACATATACATATGCGTATATATGCACACATTTTTGGTTGAACGAGCCTTGAATTTATTTAAGCAAATATTCCGAATAAAATCAGGCATAAAGCGATATGGGTGGAGAATTCTTATTGGTTAAATTTTTGAATAGATGAAATGAAAACAAATCGATTTTTCATTTTTGATTTGTTTTAAATTACAAATTGAAAATTGACGATAACAAACCAAAAAAAGAAAAATCTCAAATTCTATTCGGCATTTACAAATACGCAACCATATCATATCTCTTTTTCTCTATAGAAATGAGAAAAAAGCATACAATACCGAGACACATTGAGAGAAGGAATATTCACTGTCATTCATCGATACGGTAAAACGTACACACTCATCGTATCCAACTTATTTGAGAACGTTTATGAAAATGGATGCTCACGTTACCGATTCCTCTCTCAGCCACAGCTACTCTCTTTTTATTTTCTGTCTCCCTCAATCTCTACAACTCCATCACTGGCTTGCTCGCTCAATTGTCGAGCGGGTGTTTCATCTTGTACACACACACACACACACCGTGGAACTTGCTATCAACACACTCACAATAGCATCCCGTGCCATATCGTTCTCGTTGATTCTCTCTTTGTGTGTGTGTGTATATATAAAAGACGAATATATATTTGTATGTGTAGAATGGTGTGCTTGTTTTACTGATGTGAAACGAAACAAACGCTTTTGTTCGCTTCTTTGCTTAACGTTCTTTTTGTTGTCGCATTCAGTGAGCTAACAATGTAAATGGCTCATCGCACATATAGACGTTGAGAAAATTGCCAACGAAAAAAAAAAAAATATATATATTCGGTATCGTAGGCGATTGAGATCTTCTTTTTTCCTTTCATTTTCAATTCGCCTGCCAAACCTGTCTTGAAAAGAAAAATCATACTTGTGCGTTGATGCAGCTGCTTTTGCTGCTGTTTCTCTTCAACATCGTTTGTTATTCATTTGTGATGGTTTCTTTTTTGTTGGTTTGGCATTATCCACGCACATTTTCTATCCAATCGTTTCAATGGGAAACTTTGTGCGATATGGAGAAAATGGAAAAAAAATCGTGTGCCTTTATATATACACATACACGAAGACGCAAAAAAGAACAAAAAAAACTCTTGAAGATCGTAGACGAAAGTGAGATGAATAGGTAGAAAAGCGCGTAGCTAGTTGTGTCTTTTATATTTCTTAACACGTTACTACCGATACATGTGAAGATGTGTGTTTGTAAAAAAAATTCTGTCTATGTGTGCATTTTCCGAGCTTTTTCTATCGAATATATACGTCCATTGGATACCATTTTATACACAATGTCTATGGAATAAATAGGCATACAATATTTCATATCGTTGCATCGTCGTTATCGCACAATTTTTTTTTTTAATTTGAAAATGATGCGACAATGTATGAAAAGGGCGTTGCGTGCGTGCCCTTTTTGATTAAAATACGTATGCTATTCAGAGAAAGGTGGATAGAGAGTGAGAGAGAACAGCGAGAAAGTGAATAAAAATTCAACAATATATAGAAGCAATACATTGACTTGTACACATTTTGATTGTTCGGTGTCATAAAATGTCATGCAGCGCAAATTATATTTACACAAAATTGCAATACACCTAACGAACAAACGATGGCATCGAATAAAATCAGCAGTAGCAGAAGAAGACAGATGGAATGGTTTGGTGTGGCTTGCTTGTATAAATGATGTGATTGAAGTTTGTTGTTGCTTGAACGTGACAAATGAATTGTTTGGCTTTATCGATGAGCAATTAGATAGAAGAATGAACGAACAATAAAAAAAGTAGACAGACATTCACTTTGACTTTGCGAAATGAGCAATGGTTTGAATACCAAGAATATTTCTGCACTTGAACAATTTCAATAACAATGCAACCAAATGTTTGATCTCATCTCAATGGGCAACCACTCAATAATAAAATATAATTTTGTTATCTCCAGCTGTGTGAAGTCTTGAGTAAGTCAAAGAACAAGACAATGGATGATTTCTGATTTCTTCGTTAGCATGCGTTGATTTCTTCAATCGTCTCTCTTGTTTTTTCCCCAAATTTCCCGGGCACATCAAAAACCATAATAAATGTTTGGTCAACTAAATGTTAAGCGCACCGCAATTTATATTGACACTCCCAATAGTGTATTCTCCATGTCTTCTACACGCTTGCCTTTTCTTTTCGTTTTCGTTCGAATTTTTGTTTGGTTTTCTTTTTAAAATTCTTATAGCATTTTCTTATTTATTCCATATTCCATAAGTAATTGCGATGTGCAAATTATACAAGAATTAAAGATTCACTGTGACAACAAAATTGAGACAGACCAAACACTCGAATGCCGAACATTGTGCAAATCTTGGTTACGTGATTAAGTGGTTTGTATTCTCTTTTTTCGCAACACGAACAACGCAGCAAGCCAAAATTAAATTTTCCATGCATTTTTTACACTCTTGTTCGCTCTCTCTCTCTTTTCTTTCTTTTATTCGTGTTTTCATTCTTTCTTTTATTCGATTGTGTTTGGAGTGTCTGCCTTTTCACTCGTTGATATTATTAAATTTCAGTTGTTCATGGCATTAATTGACATTCCGCAAAGCGGTTTTAGTCGATTTAATATCCTCATATATACACAAATCTTTCTCTCCCTCTCTCTCTTTTTCCCACACACAAATACATACAAATACCAATAACAAGATTGGGTAACAAGAAAGAACAAGGAATAATTGAATGGAGCATAGTCGACGTGAAATGGACTTGAAGCTCCATAATAGCAACACGCAAATGATATAGAACTGTTTTTATTGAATATATGATGGAATAATGAAAAACGAAAAATGCGCTTTTCAGCTTCACACACGAAGTGAATGAAACGAACATAAGAGAAACGATATGGTTTATGCATAACATTCATTTAATTGAACATTTGGAAGCGCGTAGAACGAGATGAGACTCCAAAATGGTTGGAAATTTGAGCACTTTTGAGCTCCAACTGGCTGTAACACTACCACCATTCACCATTCACAACTACCATGAGATACTATCGACGAGACGTGTAATGTTTGACAGAGTACGAAATGGGGAGAAAATGTGGAAAATAAGAGCCCGAGAGAGAGAGAGAAAGCGAGAGAGAATGTTATGGAGAGCAAAATGAGAGCAAGAAATTATGGTGGTAGAGCTACTTGAAGACGTACTATTTTCTGAAATGAATCTTTTTGCTGTTGTTTGTGTCTGCGCGAGAGGCATCTTTCCTCGTCGCGTTCTCTTGTTTCTGTTCTTGTGTGCCGTTCGTTTTTTTTTTGCTGTTATTTGTCCGAAGTAAAAAAAAAGGAAATTATACCAGAAACATGATGACTACGTTACACAAACGGCTTATGACTCTACTTTTCGTCAATTCGTTCGTTCTACGACTTGCTCGTTTGTCGAACCTCCCGATTTCAATTTCGCATTTTTTTTTTTCAAGAATTTTCGGTGCAGTCATATGAAATCAAAATCAAGCAAGAAAAAGAAAATAAAATAAGACCAATAATCTGTCAAACAAAAGCCACGCAGAACGACCGAAAAAATTGTACGAGAGTGTATTTGTGCGGCTGAAATATGTACTTGGATATTACTCCAAAACGAAAAGAAATTCGTGTAGGTTTGGTATGCCAAAGCATCATTCAACATTCGCATGGTACATAGTTGTTTGGAATCGTGTCTATCCAACACGAATTGGTCTTCGAGCTCTCATTTCGACTGGAATGTACTAAATGGAATTGCCATTTCTCTCCATGTGTGACCAAAGAACATAATAATGTATTTTTATATTATATTCTGGAATGTTCCAACATTTCGATATTCTGTTGCTATTTTCGCATCGTTTTGCACAACTGACTTCCTTATTCGTATGCACCAGTGTGTCCATAACATATAGAAATAGCACTAAATAGTGTCGATATCTAGACTATATCGGTGCACTATATATGGAAGATATTTCCGCAAGACACCGTAGCTCACGATTGAAGTGAGTGCGGACGGCAAACATGTTGACGCATCTTTCTACTGCCGCACGGCAACTTGTGATTTTTGCCGTCTGCACTCACATCGATCGGGCGATACGATGCCGTGCAGCAATATCTTCCATATATGGACCGATATAGTGTAGATATCGACACTATTTAGTGCTATTTCTATGTATTATGGACACACTGGTATGCACGCAGACGAAAAATGTGTATGTTTTTGCCACTCTCGCCATCCGATCGACAATCACACTCAATACATTCGAAATGCCAGTATAACTTTTGAAAATAATTTTTCTCCAGTTAAATTTACCGAGAATGTGTGTTGTTGATGCTGTTGGTGGTTCTCTCTCTCACACCTTGTTTACACAATGTTTTTCACATTTTACGCACATTTTCCAGCATGAGTACATACATTTATTTTATTGGTTTACTTGTTTGACGAATGACACAGTCACTTGAACGTTTTCAATTTCGTCACAATTCTTTTTCCATCATTGCGACATAAATAATTCAATTTCAGTTTCAATTCAAACGAATATATAACGATATGAGAGATATCCTCCTCTATTTTTTTTAGCTTCAAGAAAAGATTAAAATTCTTTTCGCACTTAACCAAATAAGACGATGTGAAATTGTGGTAGGAACTTTGAGTAACATTTGTGGAAGAAGATGATTTTCCCTGAATCTAAAAAAATCTAAATATTATAATTGGACATAATTAATTAACCATTGGCAATGAATTCATTAAAAGAACAACCACAAGGGTGTGGGTCGACAGTGAAAAACAAAGAGAAAATTTTGTTGTCAAATTTATGGATGCGAGACACGACTATATAGATTATAGTTATA